CCTAGAAAGCTGGGGGAAGGTCAGGTTTGCCACGACGGCAGCCAAGCGGCTTTCCAACACCCCAGCTCCTAAAGAGGTGTCAGGGGCACAGGGATCGGCTGCGTCCCTCCCCCTGGAGCCCTGCGGGGAAAGACAGGCAGCTGAGACTGTTGGCTCTGGGCTACTCGTGCTAACGAGCTCATCTTTCTCCTGTCACCGAGGAAGCGATGGCCCTGCACGAGGCACCTCCCATGTCCCAGAAGCAGCCCCCCCCAGAAGAGCTCTGGCTCAGAGCAGCTCCTCAGCAGAGCACACTTACTTCTGGAGAGCTGGTCTCTCTCAGGACCAGCTCACCACCGCTCAGCACCGGCTGCGAGTCAGAGTCCTCAGAGAGCTTCTCTTCATCCTCCTCATGGATTGGGGACGAGGGAGACCGTAGTGTGCTGCGGCGAGAGAAACCCCCTGTGCACGGAGCCGCAGCGCTGCCAGCACCGCGGGCCCTGGAAGATTTGGTGGCAGCAGCTCTAGTTGTCACCACCCCTGCCCTGCCCTTCCACGAGCAGTGTAGGCCAACACGCGCGAGCAGGAGCTCAAACTATGGAGCTAAATTCACCAGGGCCCTCCAGCACCAACTACAGGGAGCCCAGCAGCAGTGTTACTGGGGCAGAGCCAAGCGGTGCAGAGCTCTGGCACAGCGACACAACTCGGACAAGCCCTGCCTTTGCGTGGAAAGCAAGAGGCCCAGGTCCCACGGCGCTCCTCACGCCTTCAGGGGCTCCTTCCCAGGGGGAGATCTGGCATGGAGCACAGCGAGGAGCACCAGGAACAAACCCACTCTGAGCCCATCCGCACGGCCCTGCGAGGGACACGTGCAGGGCACCTGCAGCGGGCTGCCCACTCCCTGGCACCCACACCTACAGCCTCCATCACGAGGGCGATGGAGGAGGCCTCAGACAACAACTACAGGATCTCTCTCAGCATTTTGTGCAGTGAAATTCAGCTCACTTCTCTCCCCCTTTGTTTTTTCCTGGGGAACTCCACAGAAGGCTGAAATCCAACAAGGTTTGGATGTCAAATGCAAATTGAGAGACTGACTGCACTGGAAAGGAGACATTTTCATCCAAAGCCTGGATGAAATCTCCTTGTTATAAAAAACCCTCTTCCCCTCTGGTGACAAAGCCAGCTCTTCAGAGACACAAGCCTGTCCCGTGAGGCTGAGCATAGGGGTGGTGTCCCCCTTCTCTCACTGGCATGAGTACCTGCTGGCCTCCTAAAACTCCGAGTTAGCGGTGCTATCAGTGATGGGACCACCCAGAGCCACAGCCCTGTCCTGGCTCCCAGCGCGTGTGGCCACAAACCCTCAGGGCTTGCGAGAGGCACGGACCCCTCCGTCCCCGTGCTGACCTATCTGGAGACTTGCTCCGCTTGCCCTTTTGGTGGCTGCTCTCCACGGCTCTGTCCATCCCAACGAGCGGCCGGCTGGCAGGCGGCATTCCATCCACCACGCCGGAGTAGTTGATTTCTTCATACAGAGGAGCTGACGGGATGGAGGGGGAGACAGAGCGAAGGCCATTCAGTGCTTCCAGCAAGGAAATGGGCTCATAGCCCGGGGGGATGTTGTCAGAGCTCTGTGGGCAAGAAAGAGACGGGCACATTAAGAAACCCCCTCACGGGCTGGAAGCCCCCCAGCCCCCCTAGCAAGGGGGGGTCCAGCTCACGCGCAGCCCTGCACTTCCCACACTGCACCCCCAAGCAGCCCATCCCCACAGCCACTGCTCCAGAGAGCCTCACCCTCCTTCGCCTGCGACAGCCACACATTCCCCTTTGGGCTGTTAACGCCGGTGATCATAGAATGGTTTGGGTTGGCAGGGACCTTAAAGATCATCTGGTTCCAACCGCCCTGCCATGAGCAGGGACATCTTCCACTCGACCAGGTTGCTCAGAGCTCCATCCAGGCAAGCTTCCAGAGCAGTGCCTGAGACACTGGGCATCCCAGCAAGTGAGAACATGGCTGGGCACCCCCCCGGCCATACTTTCAAGAGCCGGAGAAGGAGGGTGAGAACGCAGGTTCCTAACAAAGCTGCTATAAAACACGTTAGGATTTTTTCTCCTAAAAGTTCCTCCAATGGTTCAGAGCCCCTTCCAGCTCAATACGCACCCTGCTTGTGCTTCCAGCCCTGGCACGCGCAGCTGTTTCACCAGTGTTACCAGAGAAAGTCAAAATCCCATTCCTTCTGTAACTCACTAAGCAGCCACTCAAAGGGACCCTTGCAAAGCCATTAAACCAACGCTGGTTTAACTCCAAAAATCCTCCTGATCATCCAGGTCCTGTGGACTCAGACATAAACAGGGTTTATGCTGCAACCCAGCCCGCTGCAAACAGAGACAAGACTGCAGCGGTCCAGGCTTCCATTCGATGAAGCTGTTTCAGCCCTGCGCCCTCAGGGAGGTGGTTCTGTGTTGAACCTACGATGGCTGCTGCGCCTGGCCATGAGCTCCTGTAGCTTCTCTGTGCCTCATCTCCCAGCTGTACAGCTGCGGACGAGCTGCCCAGCAACCTGCTTCAACACAGCCGTGAATGTGGGGCAAGCTGGCTGCCGAACTGACTCGCTCCTGGTCACAGAAGGAGCTAGATCTGACTGGGAGGAAAGAACGAGTGGCACCTGGGGTCAAACATCAACCCACATCCCTTAAGTACTGCTCTTGTGATGGTTATGAGCTTGCACTGAAGACCACAGCTGGTGACTGGAAGATAACCAAGCCTGATGAACAAGGAACCGGCACACAGTTGCTGCCACCTGTAGGCGGTGGGGCCAAAAGCCATCTCCACAAGAACATTTCACATCCAGACAGCAGTTCCCAGGTGCTATTTTGTGGACAGAAAGGTCAGGCAGACCTGGGAGTACACACAGAGGGCACAAACAGACCCTTCCTGGCCTGGGGGTTCCCCCTCACCTTCACAACTGCCTGTCCCCTCACAACTGCCACTCATGCTGTCCCCAGCACGGTGTTTCAGTTACACACTCTCACACCAGCTCAGAGAGCCCCCAACAAAACAAGCTCCATCCTTCCTGGTTCTGTAATAGCGAAACAGCCCACTGGAGCCAGTGGTCCTGAATGCAAGACCTGGTCCAGCTGTGCCTATTCGTCCACCTCCACATCCCAGCACTAGGGTGGAAACCGTAACGAGATGTGCCCACACCAAACTGCCAAGGGGACGAGACAACAGCAAGGAAGCTTTTGGCTGAGCCAAGGGGACGGCAGCTTGCCCACTGTCTTACAAAGCTATGAAAACGTCTTGGCCAGGAACTATAAAGCAGCCAGGCTCAGGACCTGGGGACAGGCCCTGCGAGTCAGCCTCACATCCCCGTGGCAAGCTGCTTCCATCTCGCCCATTCCTCTGCACACAAACCAGGGAAGTTAGTGATCGTCCGTGCAGGGCGTGAGCGTCTCACCGCTAGTAACGCGGAGGCAGCATGTGGAGCGTCGCAGCCCGTGCAGGGGCACCAGTCAAACCCAGCGTGTTAGCAAGCCCTCGCGTGTGTAACTCTTCCACGTGCTAGTGATACCGCTGGCAGGGAACTGCCGTAGGAGCAAACACAACCCAGTCCACTTACTGTTTCCCTTCTAGGTTTCCTGCTGGGCAGGGAGACAGTGCTCACTTTAAGGGGTCTAAAGGGACACTGTCAAGAGAAAACCATGTTTTAAAGAAGTTGTTTCTTGAGGTTAGTGACACGAAGAGACACACAGCATCTCCTCACCTCGCTCTAGGTGACAGCACCTGCTCCCTCTACACACCATGCTCTGCTTCGCAACCACCCTCAGGGTTTCTCCCCTGCCCTATTTCTTAGCCCCAGTTGGAGGCCGCAGGGCTACAATGCTGCAAAGGACAGATGGATAAAACCAGGCTTGTTCTGTGACAATCTCCTTCTGTTTCCACGAAAGCTTGTGAGATGATCTAGATGAAGATCTCCCTCTCCTCGCTGATCTTATGTGTCTTGCCAGAGCCAGCTGTGCAACAGCACTGCTCAGGCTGAGGTTTCTGCGGATTTGTTTCCTCCAAAAGACAGGAGGGGCACTTGGCTAAAACCAGTCATATTACTAATCCACAAGCGGACAGGTCCTGGCTCTCTAGCAGGGCTGAGAAGAGAGGCTGCACTGCTCAGGAAGACCTTGCTCCAAGGCCCGAGCGCACCTCCTGAGGTCCCAGGGACACCAGCCATCAGGCCGAGCAACTCATGCGTGCACAAGCTGCCCGCCCAGGCTGAGACTGGTGCCCAGGCTGCGTACACGGGGCTGCGAGGTACTTACAGAGTGCTCGTCATGGTCAACGCTCTGTGCCAAGACAGGGCTGAATGACACAGGCGACAGAGCCCCCGGTTTCTTCCTCACAGCCCGGATCTGCAGCAGGGCGCGGAAGGCTAGGAGAGAACAGTAGGCAGGTGACCGCACGGTCAAGCAGGACCAGGCTGTGCCACACACGTGCCAGAGCTCCTCAGCTCGCCACAGGCACACTGTCGGCACGGGAGAGCTCCCCATGTGCACAGGGAGCAGGACCACAGAGCACAGCAAAGCCAAGCACTATGGTCTGGGCTTCTAGTTGATCAGTCTATACCCGGGAGAGATCTGCTGGCCAAAAAAAGTCTGGACGCTCTATCCCTGCGGAGAACAGGCACTGCCTGCCCTGGTGCAGTCATGTACAGAGGTTCTTCCGGCCTGATACTGTACAACACAGTAAGAAAAACACGAGATCGGCCTCAGGCAGTGCCCTGCAAGCTACAGGATGGGGTGGGGGGGCATGTAAAACCAGTCTGGGTTCATTCAGACCCCACGAGTCTCAGCCCTGGGGTCCAGCTGGTGCTGGAAGCACCGCTCCTGCCATCGGCTGCTCACTCACTGGCCAGCACGATGGTGGTGAGTAGCTCTGCAACAGCTGCGCACCCAGCCAGAGGGCTCAGGGCCGAACTCCTGTCTCCAGCGCAGCGATCCCTTGGTCCTCCCACCACAACAGCTTTGATCTCCACTCCCTGCCCACAGTCTCATTTTCTATCTGCAGATCTTTAATATTGTTAGTTCCTCTGTGCCAAGGCTGCATACGAATGAGCCAGACATCTGTTCTGATGCAGCTGTAAGAACTTGCTTGTACGTAAGGAAAAGCCCAGACATTTCTTGTTGCACCCAACCGCTTGCAAGATCAGCCTAGAGTCAGAGGGCAGACGCGCAGATCAATCCTCGCTGCCCCTGCACTCCCCAGAAGCAGATTCCCAGGAATTCTGAGGCGGGGGCACTACCCTAACAAACACAGCCAACTCCGCTGCAGCACGCAGATGAGTTAATGCTGTTCCTGCGTTTTAAGTTGTGCTACTTATAGTCAAAGCTGTCTGGCACTTCCTCCGATAAGATCTTGCTTTTCATTACTGCGTCTTTGACAAGTTTGAACTGTTTAGACTCAATTTCTCAGGCCAAACATCTGTCTTAGGTTCTTTTTTCTTTTCCTGAGAAGTATCAATTAGAAACAATCAAATACCTCAGACACCAAGCACAGGGTAAAGCACACAATCTGTCTGCTCCAGCAAAACCACAGGCTTTTTCTCAAGAGACTTCTACGCCTCTGTGCCTTTGAGGAAAGACACGGAATTTAGTGAGTGCTGCCTGAGTGTCAGAATGGGTGTTTCATTTTTCACATCTTTTGGGAGCTCAGCAGCAGCACCGCTCAGCGCACCTGCACCTTCAGATCCATCCCAGGGAAAGGGCAAGTGGCCAGGGAGGCACTGGGCAGAGGGCCAGGGCTCTCCTCCTTCCCTGTTCGAGGACAGCTATTTTAGGAATCTCCAGATGCCAGTGAGAGCAGCAGCATCTTTGATGCGGAGCCTTGGGGCTGGGTGTATAAAATACACGCTCCGTCTCACAGCCTGCACTGATTTAACAGGAGCCTAGGAGGGGGCAAGATGCCCTTGCCTGCTGGGCACATACTCACGCAGCCTGCAGATGGGGCAGTTGTTGGCCTGGTAGCGCAGGGTGTCAGCGCAGGAATTGCACAGACAGAGGTGTCTGCAGGGCAGAATGAGGGTGTCGCGGAGGTCCGACAGGCAAACCACACACTCGTTGCTGTTGTCACTGTTCTCGTCATCTGAAGGCTGCAACGAGAGACAAGACGTTGGCACATGCAGGGAAAGGACCATGCCGAACTGCCACAGGACTCTGAAGTCTGGGGAAATTTCCCACCCAGAAGTCTGTGAGAGAGCTGGCATCCTCTTTCTACAGCTCTCAGCGGGGGTTTCTCAAGGAGAGCAAGCTCCAGTGCACACAGCCCTGCTACAGACACTCCCTCCTCTTGGGGCTCTGCTCCGAGCTCACTAAAGGCCAGAGACCAGGGCACTGTCCTGTGAATTCCCAGCAGAGCCGTCCCTCCCCAGAGCTAGGCTGTGTGCACAGGGGAGCCCCTTTGGGGTCAGGAGACCCGTGGCTGAGGGCAACCAAGAACAAGCTCCTGCCTGCCAGGCTGGTGGCTCCCAGGGTCAGCAGGGAAGCAGGGTCCAGCCTTTCTGCCCCATGTCCACAGAGCAACAGCAGCCCCAAAAGGAGCTGGTGGCAGACTGTGGCAGGCAGCAGGTCAGGGTGCCGCTGGGCTGCACAGAAGGAGGTACTCCAGCCATGTCTAGCCCAGTTTCCATGGGTCCTCGAGTGAGTGGTTCCCCTGCCACAGCATCTTCCCCAGTCTCCTGTGCTGGCACAAACTTTGATGCAGCTGCAGGAGAACCAGCCTGGGACGCTCACCTGCTCACAGCTGCCCTGGTTGAAAAGGTCAGTGTGATGCTATTCAACACGAACATGCATCACACGACTTTTTCAGTCACTTGGAGCCCCACAAATTGGATTACAGCCACCAAGCAAGCTGTTGCTGGGAGGAGAAACCCACTCTCCATCCACAAGAACTCTCTTCACTGACACCCAAGAACCCCCCAGTCCTCCCACCGATGCCACAGAAGTTATGCCAGAGCCCAGCAAACTGATAACCCAGCATGGGCCACCCTCCACCTTTGCCTGGTCCCACTTCACGAGGTCCCTTTGGTCACCAGGGCTAACACATGCTAGACCACAAGCAACCTTGATGTAAACAGCAGTAGACAGCATCTGCTCCTGCCACATCCAAACCCAGCCTGCCGACTATGCCAGCAAAAGGCAGCAAGCCTGTCTACCCCGTCACATGCACTCCTCATCTACTTTGGGAGGTAGGGAGGGCAGGCTTTTTGCTTTCCATTCATACGGTTTGCTAAGCATACTAAGAAGAACAAAAACGGCCCTAGGGCACTTGTGTGATGGGCAACAAATGTGTGATTGCTGGATCAAGAGAATCATCATAAGACCCTGAAGGACCCCAACAGAAGCCTTCAATCCTCTTAAATGATCCTGTGCAAGAAAAATCTTTGAAAAGACGTCTCCCTCCTGCCTCTTCAGGTGCTACCTGTTGGCACAGGCAGATACAGATCACAGGATGCTTTGGGCAGAACACCGCACTGGTTGGAGAGGAAATCCTGCTTGTCTTGCTCTGTGGCTACTCCTCTGTTTGCGAATCAGGCACTGCACACACCAGAACGGTCTGATCCTGAGGCCAGCACTTGGTACACTCTGCAGCCCAGGTGGCAGCACAGGGCAGCTCCACATAAGGCTCAAGCAAGCATACAGCAGTCACATAATCTGCACGGGGCTGCGCAGCAAGCCGGGATTCAGCAGAAGCTCCTGCCTAAAGATGGGCAATGTTTCTGGTTATGGCATTTGCATATACACCCCTTGGTGATGCTGTGCTCCCTCCTGCTGGGGAATGCAGGCTGCTCTCTGGACACTGGCAAGCCCTAGAGAGCTCATTTCCCTGCAATGTTATGAGAACGTGCAGTCTCCCCACTAAAAAGAAATAAATCAACCCCTCCCTGCCAACAAGCAGGAGATGATGAAAGAGCCACAGGAGCAAAGCACAGACACACCAAGCACAACTGCCTTGACTGCAGAGAGGCAGTGAGATGGCGTGGGCACCAGAGGGAAGGTTTCAGAGGAGCCTGGCAAGAGGCAATGCTCATTTACAATCAATGAGGGGGGGGAAAAAAGGAAAAAAAGATACTCTTGGCTGCGCAAACTGGCAAGCACCTAGACTGGCCAGCAGCCTCAGGGCACCAAAAGCAGCAGCTGACACTAGCCCACTGTCTCTACAATCCCTAAAGAACAGTGCTCTACCCCACGGGGCACTGATATGCTTCTCTCCCAGCAACTCCAGCCCCAAGGAATACTCTCCAGAGCCTCATGATATCTAAAAGCATCTGAGCACAACTTCACTGATTGTTTGGGCCGTACAACAGTGAGGACCTGCCATGCCTGGGCTTCTTCAGTGCCTGCACGCAGACTTGAGAGTCATTCTGCGAAGCATCTCCACATTGCCCTGCCAAGCCCCACAGTTAGGCTCAAAAGCAGCAGGCGCAGGCTGGAAACCCACAGCACCGGGAGCAGGAGTCTCCTGAGCACCTTTACCTTGGTCTCTTGGTTGTTTTTGTTCTCGATGCCGTAGATCTCCTGAAGCAGATAGCTCACCCGGTCAACCTAGGAAAGAAGACAACAGTTGAAGTGCCAGCCGCTCTGTCATTGCTGCTTTGTGATCACCTCTCCCCTCTCCTCGTGTCAAAGCGTCCATGTTACACCCACGGCAGCGGGCTCCCCTAGAGCCACACAAAAAATTTAACAGAAGCAAAATATTGCAAAGGATAGCTGGGAGAATGAGTCTCTCCTTGCTCAAAAAGCGGTGCCCATCCCGTCTGGCCTGAGCAGGCAGCCCAACTGGTCACTTCTGTCACTATCAAAATCCTCTAAAAAACAACTACTCTGCCTGTCTCAGAGATCAAGAGGGAACACAGCTCAAGTAAGCCAGAGGCAATCAGCCTTCCAGAGTCTTGTCCCTCTGTGAAGTATTGCTTAACTTTAACCAAGATGAACTTCCACCAGTCCTCGTAACGTCAGGAGAGGTACTGTGCCAACAGCTTGTTACTGGCACATTAATGGCTGCACATCACTTCCCTGTTCATCGCCTGGGAGCTACTGAAGACAGACAAACCATCTCCCTTAGGAAGAGAAGCACTCAAGGGACAACCCTACATTCGCGCAGTGTTGGTTATTACCATCCCCAGGCCCTTGGTGGCATCTCTAGACTGGGGTGCATGGTGGCAGAAAGTGCTCTAGGCACAGCGGAAGTTGCTCACAGCCCCAAACCTGGGTCACACTCTTCCAGGCCATGCCTTTATGCAAACGCTGGCAGCTGCCTGCAAACTCCCCAAGCAGCTGAATTAAAGCACTGAGGCAAGAAAGGCTGATGGTTCTAGTCCCAGCAAGGCAAGCCCCCTCTGCACTGTGGGGTGTTCTCCCCTGTTCTCTAGCTCAGCCAGGAAGTACAGCACAAGACTCATACAGCTGTGAGGAGTAGCCTCTACAAGGACGCACAAAGATACCGGTCCCTTGAGATTTGGTGCTACACAGCAGCTTCCCCAGAGCAGGGTGTGTTGCTCCGCACAAAACCCACAACAGCTAAAATGTTGAAGGGGTTGCAAGGTATAAAACTGACGCAAATAGGGGAAGGAAACGCTTTCCTGCCACCACCAGTAACTATCCAGTTGACACCACGCAGTGAAGCTAAGCCACCGGGAACCCAGTGCTTCAACAGCTCAACAGTCCCAGGGCTTTTGACGTTTCCATGTGTAACTGGCCTCTCTCCTCTCCTTTTGTCAAGCCAGGTGCTCAGAAGAGCAATGGCTTTGCCATGGGATTTCAGTGCTGCAGAAGGCATCACACACCAAGATGGGGCCAGGAGCTAGCTACATCCAGTCTGTCTGCCAGTTCAGAAATGCTCTGAGCTGGAAGGCAGCAGCTTTAACAAACTAATTCCAGAGTCTTCCCATTTAACTCAGCGTGAAGCTTACAATCTGTTCTAGGCCTGCATTTCATGGCAATGAGGTCAGCTGTTAGACTGCTGAGCAAAGTCCTCTGCAGCGGCTCACAACTCACCCAGGAAGTTTGGGAACAGTTATGTGGGAGATGTCCTTTTGTAACTTGACATTTCAAAGAGAGTTTTGTTACAGCATCCTGACTCCTTGGAAGATCATGATGAGCGACAGTGAATGCAGAAGTGGTCAACTCAAAGCAAAGAAGATCAGGAAGAGACCAATGCCTCTGTGGCAGTCTGCGTTTATTTTAACTGCTTGCCTCTAAAAATCTCGAGAAGCTCATGTCCGAGTAGGAATAGGGTGAGTGGTGCAACATGGCTCTTACTAGAAAGATCTCTAGGTTTTAAAAGAGTAGGAGTAAATAAGGAGTGGGTGATTGTACACAAGGCAGTTCTTCACCTTCATGCTTCTCCAACCCATCCCGCACCACGTCATCCTTCCGAAGGCTTCTGTTGCTATATACAGCCTCAGCTGATGCACACCGGAGCCATTGGCCAAGTCCAGGTCGTGTTTTTCTGCTGATCCATCTGTTTGCATTCATCTATGTTGAATTTCTTTAAACAGGTTGGTACATACATTATAACTGATCTCAGCTGAGAGAACAAAGCAGTTCAGCTCATTAGCTGCTGCTTTCTGCTCCCAAAGAGCTCAAGAGATTGATGCACACAAAAAGTACCTAGGAATCCTGGCAATGGCAAGGAAGGGAAGGCAAAAGAAAGGCAGTGATGTTACACTGTTATATATGTTCTACTGCAGACATATACTCTATACCTCTGCTCTACGCTCCTACGGGCGCAGATGCTATCTCAGTTTCAGTGTGTCCTGGGTTTGGCCAGAACAGGGTTAATTTTCACCGGAATCCAGGAAGGGGCACAGCCGGGGGGTGGGGGCTGACCCCACCTGGCCAAACAGAGCCCGGTATTCCATGCCATGTGACGTCACGCTGGGTTCCGATGGGGGGGGAGCGGCGTGGCGGGAACGCACTCGCGGCTTGGGGCGGGCGCAGCGCCGGTCCGGTTTCGGGAGAGCGGCTGTTGTACGGTTCGTGGTTGTGTTTTCTCCTTATTTGTATCGTTGTTGTTCCTGTTTTC